GATCCAGACTTGACATTTGGGATTCAGACAGTTCGACGAGGGACTATTTGGGCTTGTGCCAAAGACTTGGTGTTGACGACATTCCCATCTTCCCCCTCCTCTTCGTCTATCCCCTTCCTCTTCGTCTGTGTATGTTCTGCGCTGGCGCTGTCTTCCTGTGTGAAGCGCCAGACCCATTCACACTATGTAACGATGATGATGTATGTTCAGGGCTGCATTACAACATTGATTGTACGGGTCACTGATATCTAAGTCTTCCGCTGTGTTATCTTGTACTTTGTATTGAAAGGTCGGTTCTTGTTCTGGTCTGCACGTACAGTATGCAACACTGGATGTACATTGCTTGTTGATGCTTTGCTGACATTCGAGTCCTTTTCATCACTTCGCGGATCCTTGGTTTCACATACATCGCTCAACTGAGCATGTATCATATGCTATGCTTTTCTTTTTTTTTGCATGTGTGGCACTGTGTGGCATATTTCCAAAACAGAGTTTTGCCGCCTTGTGGGAGGTTAAGCCCACCAACTTTCCAGTCACTGTAGCATTCGCACAGTTTGTAAAACACACCAGCACTTGACCACCAATGCTTATGTCTTTGTTAAACGCGTCTTTTTGGTAAACCCAAACAGTGCAACTTTTTAAGTATGCCGTACTCCACGGTGATGATCTACCCCGGCCGGCGTACCCATATGCCTGATAAAACGTTAAAAAAAAAAAAAAAAAACAGTACATGGCCCATATATCGGCCGCGGGTACTTCACGTTAATGCGCCGCAACTTTTAGGGCTCGGCCTCCAAAGCAAAATGGCTGGTGGCGCAGCCAAAAGGAGTTTGTGCCGTTTTTTTTTGTTTTTTTTTTTTGCCCTGCACGGCATTTTCGGCTCGGCTTTTTCAGTACTGGTGGTTTAAAACTTAAAAGCCAAATTCTTACCAGTCTCCAATCGGCACCTCCAAGAGGTCATGCTATGGTGCAAAACACACAACATAAGATGCGATGGATTTTATCAGCATAAATGCAGTGATGCAGAAAAGCAGATCATTCTCAAAATTCTGGACCTCTCCACAAAAACTTGTCCAGATTCGGGTGCTCAATACAATCCTCTTTGCTTGTGGGACCTCAACCCCGAGCAGTGCCTGGACGGTCTTCTGTCTGTGGTCCAGAAGCTGGACGTCTGCAGTCCTTGTCCTGAATAATTCAAAAAATAATAATTTTCGAGGTTACTAGGAGGTGGGGGGATGTCCGGCCCAGCCAATCAGAGCGAGGCTGAAAACTGTCCCAGAATTTTGTCTTGGCTTTTTTTCCCTGATCGGGCAGCGTGTCTGCGCTTGCAGAGAACCTGCAGAGTCCGCCTTCTTTTTCAAAATTTTGGAAATGTCGAGAGAGGGGGGAAGGGAGGGTGGCTTGGGTTGGGGATGACTCTGGGCGGAAAGAAGGGAGATGGTGGAGAGAGAAGAAGAAGAGCAAAGAAGACGAAAAGAAGAAGGAGAAGAATAAAGAAGAAAAGAAGAAGAACGAGAAGGGCAAAGAAGACTTAAAGAAGAAGACAAAGAAGAAGAAGAAGAAGAAGAAGAAGAAGAAGAAAGAAGACTTAAAGAAGAAGAAGAAGAAGAAGAAGAAGAAGAACAAAGAAGACGAAGAAAAGAAGACGAAGACGAAGAAGAAGAAGACGGCGACGACGACGGCGACGACGAAGAAGAAGAAGAAGAAGAAGGAAAAAACATGAAGAGGAAAGCGATACAAATGGGTTTAGAGTCCTTAGACTCTAGAGGGCTTTGAAAAGTTAAACCACCAGTACATCCAGCTATCGGCCGCGGGCTGTTTTCGGAGGCCGCCCGCCACCGATTCAATTTATCTACGGCGCTGGGCCTCCGAAGTTTTCGTCCCGGGGGGATGTCAGGCCCAGCTTGCAGAGAACCTGCAGAGTCCGCCTTTTTTCTCAAAAAATTGGAAATGTCGAGAGAGGGGGGAAGAGAGGGTGGGGGAAGGGCAGGGTAGGGCTTGGGTTGGGGATGACTCTGGGCGGAAAGAAGGGAGATGGTGGAGAGAGAAGAAGAGCAAAGAAGACGAAAAGAAGAAGGAGAAGAACAAAGAAGACGAAAAGATGAAGAACGAGAAGGACAAAGAAGACGAAAAGAAGAAGAAGAAGAAGAAGAAGAAGAAGAAGTAGAAAGAAGACGGAAAGAAGAAGAAGAAGAGGAAGAAGAAGAAGAAGAAGAAGAGGAAGAAGAAGAACAAAGAAGACGAAGAAAAGAAGAAGAAGAAGACGAAGAAGAAGAAGAAGCAGAAGAAGAAGAAGAAGAAGAAGAAGAAGAAGAAGAAGAAGAAGGAAAAAACATGAAGAGGAAAGCGATACAAATGGGTTTAGAGTCCTTGGACTCTAGAGGGTTTTGAAAAGTTGAACCACCAGTACATCCAGCTATCGGCCGCGGGCTGTTTTCGGAGGCCGCCCGCCACCGATTCAATTTATCTACGGCGCTGGGCCTCCGTAGTTTTCGTAGGCGAGGAGTTTTCTTTTCAGCAAGGCTGGGGCCATGTACTGGCAGTTCAAAGCATACTTCCAAGCACAGTGTGCGCCACACGGCACGCTGTGCGGCAACTGCCGGTATGCCGTGCCGACAAATGCTGCAGAAGAGTTCACGACCTACAGAACACATCCTGTTCAAGATGCGCAAGCACAGTCGTACCAATTTTTCTTCCCGTCCCATTGGGCATGAGAAATAGCGTCGAATAGGTGTTCGGGACATCCCTCTTGACCATTAGGTGACGGCATTACTGTCCCGTACTTGGGGACTTTTTGGCGGTATTTCACTCGCCTGCTTCCAGTTGAGTTTGAACTTCGAAGTTTGAAGTTTGAACTTCGAAGTTTGAAGTTTGAACTCGGGTCTGTGTTTCAATAGCTCAGGGGTGTACCCACTGAGCTAGGCCAGTTGTACTCGGCAATTTTTTGTTTTCATTCCAAAACAAAATTTGAAGGTGGTACCCCTCTGATGCAAAAAAATATTTTGCGCAAATGCCCCTTGCGTGGGTTGGACCTGCCATCTTTGCAAAATACCCCTATCGGATACTGTTGTCCATCTTTGCAAAATGTCCCCGTACTTGCCAACTTTTCCCAGGCCCTATGTTATTTTCGTTTTACCCCTTTCAGCCCGGGTCATCTTTGCATTTTGCCCCCTGGCCGTTTGAGGTCGACACAGCCTTTTCCAGGCCCTTGAAGACACCACCTTTATGGCTATTATCTTTTGAAGCAACTTTCTGTCTAGATACACCCATAATGGACGTGCGTTCTATTGGGGGGGGCGCTGTCGTTTTGGCAGTTGCGTTGTGTGTGTGTGTGTGTGTGTGTGTGTGTGTGTGTGTGTGATAGATAGATAGATAGATAGATAGATAGAGATAGATAGATATATATGACGATATATATATATATATATAGAGAGAGAGAGAGAGAGAGAGAGAGAGAGAGAGAGAGAGAGAGAGAGAGAGAGAGGAGGGGAGGGCAGAGGGATGTCGGAGAGGGCAAAGGAGAAGAATTGGAGGAATGGCGGGAGGAGTTAGAGATGGGCAAGCTTACCAGGCGAAGCTGCCGTGCGTGACACATGGGCAGAGACTTCGAATGACTTAGAAAGTTGGAGGCAAACTGCCGCGCCTATGCGCCTGGGTATTGCGCAAAGTTGCCCAGCTGGTATGGAGGGCAAACCAGGTAAAAGAGGGTGCAGGACCAGGCCCCAACGATGACGTTTAGATTGCAAATTTGCACACAGGCCTGACAGGAGCAAAACACAAAGAATTAGGCCCAAAAGGGCATTCCGCTCTAGCACATCTTTTAGGAGCATTTTGGCATATATCTCAACTTGTAGGGGTGTTTTGCAAATTATCCCTACTTTGTACGAGTCATTTTAAAACTTTTCTCTTTTTCTTTTTTCTTGTGCTGTTTTGTCCTACATCTTTGCTTCATGGTCTTGCAGCTCACCACCTCTTTTTTTTTTCTTTTTTCTTTTTTTCTTTTTTTGGGAATTGCAGCTCACAACTCCGGTGGCCCTCGTATGGATATTGTAACACCTGATGAAAAGGGGCAACGCACCGGATTTCTCGCGACAGTGGCAGAGGAGTATGCCGAAGCTATTGAGAAAGTTCTCTCCATGCCAGAAGAGGAGAGACTGGAAATCGCCATGGCAGCAAGGCAAAGGGCTCAGCTCTTCTCCGACACAGAGTTTAGCAAAGGTTTCAAGAGTGCAGTTCGGCCTATCTTTGCCGTATTTGAGAAAAAGCGCCAGTGAACGTGTTGATGTACATTTACTGGGATCAATTTAATCGGATTAGGTTTACAATCTTTCTTATCTTCCGTCAGGTTCCCTCTTGCTTGCCCTGGAATGAAATGATCAGTCGTCATGCCTGCCGATTGTCTAAGGCCAATCACAGAGCTGTCTTATCTTCCTCCTCCTCTTCCTCCTCCTCCTATGCTTGTTCTCATTTTCCTTGCCCTCTTGCCAACCCTACCCCTCTCACGGCCAACCTGCACGGTCGCCCCCCCGCCCCCCCCCCACTCCCCCCCTGCAAACCGCCTCCTTTTCCCATGCTTGTCTTCACTCCCTGCCCTCCTTGCTCCTGTTTCCCCTCCCCACCCCTGCCTTCCCCCGGTCTCCTCCTCCTCCTCGTTATCGTCATCGGCTTTCGCCTCTTTGTGCTTGAACTGCTACTCCCTGGTAGCAGTGGAATGATTGTAGTTTATAACTTTATAATCATATCGTCCATTTTCGTTGTTTCGTCTTAAAAAAGAAAGATTATCATGCATTTTCCCTGTTTCTTCTTAGAAAAGTAAGAAAAAAAATTGTATCGTCCAACGTCCGTTGTGTTGCCTTCCAAACTTTTTGTTAGTTTGAATTTAGAAGCTATAGATATTACAAGTCGCTAATTTAGAAATTACTAACTTAGAATTTAGATGTGATTTGTTTTCCCTTCCGTTCTTGTTTTTTTCAAATTTTGTATTAGTTCTCTCTCAGTTTTCTGCCCTTCTTGCCTTTTTTTTGTGTTAAAGCTTGCATGGTCTTGCATTGAATGATGAACAAATTATGAATATTTTTTGTAACTTACGGAGAAACATACTTTTTTTATTATACTATTATAGTGTATGTGCAAATTGTTCCGGTCTAGGTAAAATTCAATATATTATTATATTCTGATTCCTAGACCAAGTTACATGTCATTTGATCCTGAGAACAGTGAGAAGTGTAAACATAAGGCCCTTCCTTGTTTCCTTTTGATAAAAAAATGGCAGGTATAAACATAAGGCTCTTTCTTGTTTTGCTTTGAAACTTTGAAATGAATCTTTCTTATTAGGATGAATCCGATGAGGCCATCATGAAGGCCTTTTGAGTATGGCTGAATCCGATGAGGCCATCATGAAGGCCTTTTGAGTATGACCATTAGCTGATGACGGCAAGCCGTTCGCAGTGTCGTGGCCATCAGGTAAGTGGCGGCAACCTGAGCAAAAAGAGGGGTGGCTAGCTAGCCACCCGTCTTGCTCAAACAAATGTCCGCCGTTCAGTGCTGTTGAGCTTGGGGAAAAAAAAGGAAAAAAGGAAAAAAGGATAAAGGCCTTTCCATATTAGAATGAGACTGTTGACATTAGCTTGAGACTTGTCGCGTAAGGATGAGCTTTCGGAATGCAGTTGGGTCTTGGCGTTTTGCTTCACACTTCAACTGCACCCTCCTTCGTCATCATCACTGTTTGATGTGGAAAGGGAAGAAAGAGGAGGAAGAAGCGTTGAATTGTAAGGGAGGGAAGAAGAAGACGAGGCGAAGAAATGTAGAAGCAAGCAAGGAGGAACACAGCAGAAGAAGGTGGTGGGAGTATCGACAGTTTCCAGCGTCCTAGAGGTAGGGAAAGGCGATGGCGAATCTGTTGTGCCTATTGTCGACTTTTTGCGGCGGCTTTACTGAAAGTTTGCGTGCCGGCGACAAATATGGGTGTACAGCAGCGGTGATACGGTGTGGAGCGATGGGTGGCGTGTTGTTTGGCGTTCATTTGGAGAAACATGCGTCGTAACAGGTAAATGAACTAGGCCACTAGGAAAGTGCAAACATTTGTTTGAGCAAGGCTGCAAGAGGGGTGGCTAGCCGTCCACACGACTCCACAGTGTAGTGGCAGCGTCGCCTACGACAATTCGCCTCAAGTAGGAACTGGTGGGTATGTGCAAGGATAAGCGGAAGAAAGTGCGCTTGGTGCGAAGGTCGAAGGCTGGTTTGGTGTTGGGATACCCGCTGAATTATTCTTCGAGAAGTGCAACCGGACTAGAGCTAGGAGGATGTGATATCTGACGTGTTTTCGAGGAGATTCCATTTGCAAAAGGTGGTAGTGAAGGTTATGCTCGATAATGTAGAGTTAAGAAGGGGCGAGTTCTTAGTGCAGTAAGGTAGGGTATCGGGGGACTACCACTTGATCGACCGATGACGAAAATGGTTCGAAGACGAGCCCGCGTTGTTTGGACAAGAGGTCCGAATGTGGGTGCAGCGGATGAGGTCTCCAACTGCATCTGCACAAGCATGCCCTTCCCCAAACCGGGGGGGGGGGGGGGCACACCCATTTCGAAATCAGTGGTTCGGAAGGTTGCCTTGAGATTTCTCAGAATGCTAAGAATGTGCCGAGCAACGGTAGTACGGAGTTGCGGGATCCGTTAGAGAAGGAGCTGACTGATGGATTCTCTGATCTATAAGTCGGTTGCGGACAGGTATTGGGTCGGTTAGTGAAGGAGCTGACTGATGGGTTCTCTGATCGAAGCGGGTCGAGGACGGACATTGTGTCTATTAGTGGAGATGATTGACGGATTTTTTGATCTGAGTGGGTTGAGGAAAGGCATTGGGCATGTGACATTTGTAGCAGCTGATGCATCTCATTGCATCAACGAGGCGGTACGAGGCGACCGCAATAATGTGGACACCTAGGTTACCAGTCGGGCCGCCCGCGTCACCTTGTTTTCCAGGGAGAGCAGGTGTTGCACTTTTTCTAATCAAGCCACTTTTAGTGACCAGAAAGCCAACAGGCTGTCACGCAGGATTTTCATGAATTTTGCAACACATAAATAAATTAGTTAATGCAAATCCCTTCCTGTTGTGTGCGTTCGGCTTTAGCAAGACCCTTCAATTACGGTCTACGCCGGTCTACGCCGGTCCCCGGTCTTAGGAATTTTTTATTATGATAATGAACAACAATAATCATGCAAGTAATAAAATTAAAAATTGAAAATCTAAAAATTGAAAATGTTGTGCACGTATCAAATTTGCCAATTTAAGAATTTCAAAACTGTGACAAGATCAACTGAGAGCGTAACATCAAGCAATGCCAATGAAAAAGAGTCAGGACTGATTGACTCAAAAGGCAAAGGCAAGATGAACGAGGGAAGGTGATGATGCATAATAATCTCAAAAAGGACAGATGAATAGATATCGTCAGCATTCTTCAAGAGTCCTCACTCGTCCCTCTCAAGTCTCGTCTTCAATCTCTCTTCTGACTGTGCTTTTCGAACGCCTTGAGCCACGTCTGTGTACTTCCCAAGATTGTGGTATAGAGGTGTAGAGTCATCTAAAGCCGTTAATTTCAGGATAAGACCATCCGAGGTCTAAGATTCGGAAGTTAAGCGCAGCACAAAACTCCTCCCACAAAGGAGGAAGATACGGTCTGGATAAGATCCCTTGTCGAAGATGGGCGAACCTTGACGCCTTTGTCATTGTCGCATAGTCAACTTCTGCCGGTGAGATGTACCTGTTGGCCAAGTCAACCAATTCACGCAGTAAGAACCATCGATGAGGTAGAAAAGGACCGGAGGCTTGGGGTAGTCAGGGGATAGCTTAGGACCAAAGCTATTAGTCGACTTGGTTTCCTTTTGAAGCACCCTTGCTCTCCCCTCAACATACCGAGCTGCTACAACCCAAACTGAGTCGAAGTGCTCATTAGTCGTTGCCTTTCTTTATATAGATAATCAGATCTTGGATGGCTCCCTCCGCACACTCGGTGAGGACCACGGAGATTAACATATCTTTTTTTTTTTTTTAAATATCTTTTCGTTTGAAAACAATTGCACTGATATACCGGTAATGAAAAGTATCCTTGGAAGTAATCCTGTTAAGGTTGGCCAAGAGTGACCCATCCGTCGAAAATGACTGAACTGTACTCGTGTGAATAATAATTACTGCTGATTTTTGTTGGTCTGCAAAGCTTGCTTGAGTGTCGCAAATGAAGTGGCTGTGCTGATTGTTTTACGGAACTTTTACCGGTCCGATTTTTGATAATACACTCTGTACCTAGGCTACCAGAGTGGCCCCTGGGTCCACTTGCCCGGCCGTGCCAAGAAGAAATAAAAAAATAAAAAAATAAAAATTATTTTTGTAATTAAAATTTTAATTTTAAATTCGGTAAAGAATTTCGATGTGAACCTGAGGCAAGAGTTGTTCAGTTTATTTTTCTGCATAACATAGGTTTTTTTTGCGGGTTTTAATTTTTTTTTGATTTTTTTTTTGGGCTGGGACCTTCCCTAGTCCTTGCACGGTCGGGCCGCCCGGGAAAATAGGGTGACCCGACTCTTGAACGATGCAATGTGTTGGTTGTCTTCGTGTCTTCCCACTTGTTTGATCTCTTTTGTTCTGACTTGCATGTTATCCACAAAAAGGTTTTTCTTTCGCATTTCTCTTTCTCTCTAAACTGAAAATTCAAGTAACCCTTTGTGCTACTGGGCATAATTATTTGTTTCCAACTGTATTTCGATCCCTTTTCAATTGCTCCGTCTGAGATGAGATTATCAGACTTGACCTTTCTTTTTTTTTTTTTCTTTTTTTTTCTTTTTTTTTTTTTGAAACACCCTTCGGTGCTAGCAGTGCTGATAAGAGCAGACACTGGTAGCACCGGGGGGGCTCCATCTATTGGTGGGGAGCAGCACCTGCTGGAAACCGGGTCCAGCGTCCCTTACATAAATCAAGTTCGGCTCACATGATTGACAAGTATGGTCCTGCCAGCATTGATTGCCCTGAAGATTCAGGGGATTGACTGAGCAGGAGATCGGGGAGGGGGCCTCTTCGCCCTATAATTTGCGCCAGATGTCTGCAATTGCGTCCTGGCCCCCCCACACCCATTTCTGAAGGAAGTTTCCTGGGGTTGAGCATCTTGATCCTCCCGAGGTTCCCYGTCCCATGGGACTGCCCGTGTTCCCCCCGCCCTTGTCAGAGATCCCCCTTATCCCTATGCCCAACTCTATTGCGGCAGTCCCCCTGTCTTAAGGCTCAGCCACTATGCTGTGCTGTGCTATATGCAGTCCCTTCCTACCCCGTATGCCCTCCCTTATGTGCACTCACTCCTTCCCGTACCATTGCATGTCTACCATGGCTAGCGGGTGCGGGGG